AATTTCAATAACAAGAGAAATCCCCTAAAACAATAAAAGTTTCCCTTGTAGGCCTTTGATAACTAATAATGCTTGCTCAATATAAACAAAAGCAATCAACAGATGGAATGCTACCATCCATTCAATAGCTGATCAGAGTATCTAACAAGCTCTTTTGAAAATTTTAAATTCTAGTCGTACTTTGTCTCATACTATTAAATTCATATCTGAATATCTTTTTAAAAAATGTATTTATTTTTATGTATGACTACTCTATCTGCATGTACACCTGCATGCCAGCAGAGGGCATCAGATCACATAGGTGGCTGTTGAGAAACCATGTGGTTGCTGGGAACTGAACTCAGCACCTCCAGAAGAGCAGCCTATGCCCTTAACTGCTGAGCCATCTCTCCAGCCCCCCTCTCTGAATATCTTATGGTTGTCAACCCAATATATTTCACTTGTTCAAACTGTATTACCTGAAAGACATTAAAAGCATTCACTATGTTCCTCAAAGCCATCATGTTTGCTAATATAAGAATGTTTAAGCCGGGCAGTGGTGGCGCATGCCTTTAATCCCAGCACTTGGGAGGCAGAGGCAGGCGGATTTCTGAGTTCGAGGCTAGCCTGGTCTACAGAGTGAGGTCCAGGACAGCCAGGAGTACACATAGAAACCCTGAACCCTGTCTCGAAAAAAACAAAAAAAAAAATGTTTATAAAACAGAAGCCCTGGCTCATACTCCTAGGTTCAGAATTCAGTTCTAGAATAATCAATCCTATTTTCAATCTCAGGGCTAATTTTGCTTCTTGTTCCTGAGTCTCTGCCTTGGTGTCATCTCTCTTTACAGTTTCCCTCTGAGCCTTGGTCCCCCTTTTGCATCACCGCACCAGTGCACTAATTTACTTTTTCTAATGTGCTTTCTGTTGCATTATAGGAAATGTATAGGAGGGTATTTTGTGCTAAAATATTCTCAGTTTCATTAAATTTATATTTCAGCTAGTATCTATTTTCTAAAGTACACAAATGCAAAGTTTTCTAAGGTTGAAAAGCATTCACAATGCAATCCTTGCAACCTTCACTGTTTCTGCTGCTATGGCCTGAACCCTGTGCCCCATGCTCTACTACTGAACTATACCAAGTCCTTTTGCTTCCTTTATTTTTTTTTATTTTTTATTTTTTATTTTTTTGGTTTTTTGAGACAGGGTTTCTCTGTGTAGCCCTGGCTGTCCTGGAACTCACTCTGTAGACCAGGCTGGCCTCGAACTCAGAAATCCGCCTGCCTCTGCCTCCCAAGTGCTGGGATTAAAGGTGTGCACCACCACTGCCCAGCCCTTTTGCTTCCTTTAAATAGATATTAGTACCATAATCACATAAAATCACAATCGTATCAAGCTGCACTAGGATGTGCTCCAAAATGACTTGGAATTGTCTCTATTGTAAAACTGAAGATCGGTACATTTTGATCTTACCTGAGCCCCTGCCAGAATGGCCTTCTCATAGATTGAGATAATATTTTCAATAGGACTTGTGACTGGTTCAATACGTACAAGACATATCCAATATTTAACAAGTTTTTTGGCATCTGGAATATTATGAACCAGGTCATTCAATGTAGCTAAAACTTCTTCTTTTGGGCACCCCTAAAATACCAAGAAATAATATGTGAGCTATAAAGTATAAATGATTAATAATCTGACTATAATGAAGAATAGTGGGCAATATAAAAAGCTGACAGGAGGCACTGGAAACATGACTCGGCAGCCAAGAGTACTTCACGTCCCACCACAGGATCCATGTGGTGGTTCCTCCCACCCAGGCTGGGCAGCTCGCAACTGACTATAACCTCCAGATCCAGTGGATCCAACACCTTCTAGCCTCTGCTGCCAACTGTATATGTGTAGTACACATAAACTTACTTCGGTACATAAATAAAATAATAAATCTTAAAATATAACATTTCTAAATTGTAGAATGTACAAAGAGAAAGACTCTACCAAGAAGGCTGGAGAAATGGCTCAGCATTTCAGAGCACTACTTGTTCTTCCAGAGGATCTGGGTTCAATTCCCAGCACACACATGGTGGCTCACAAGCATCTTTAACTCCAGTTCCAGATGATCTGACACCATTTTCTGGCCTCTGCAGGCACCAGGAATGCACATGGACATAAATACAGACAAAACAGCCATACACATTTAAAAAAAAACAAAAAAAAACCCACCACCAACAACAACAAAAAAAGCCTCTACCTTATTAATGAGGTTCAGGCATTCAGAAATTGTTTTGTTTACTTTTTCAGTAAATAATCTCTGTTCATCTTCTTCTGCCATGGTAGACCAAAAGGACCCAACTGGGTTTTCATTTCGCCCTTTCGGCTCAGCCTGGGTGACCACTGAATGAGGAGGTCTTTTTAGCCCCTTTCCTTTACCAGTTCTCCACTCAGTCTTCTGAGCTCTACAGCCAGAAACAGCACATAAACGTTACTCAGGTTCTGATGACGGCATCCTGCTAAGTGGAATCGTTAAATATAGTTCAAATCTGGGGCTGGAGAGGCAGCTTGGCAGCACCAGCCACTCTTCCAGAGGACCCTGGTTTGATTCCCAGCACCACAAGGTACATTACCACCATTTGTAACTCCAGTTCTGGAGGATCTGACATGTTCTTTTGGCCTCTGTGGGCACCAGGAATACACATGGTGCAAAGACATAAATCAAAACTACTCCAAGCCTATCCATAGTTCTAACCTGGTGGAACATCCTGATTTGCGGAGATGAACTCCTTAATGTAACAAGATCATATATATGCTAGAACCGGGGAGGTGGCTCAGAGGTTAAAAGTGCTTACTGCTCTTGCCCGAGGACCCAGGCTTGGTTCCCTACACCACCATCAGGAGGCTCACGACCAGCTGTAACTCCACTTCCAGGGGACCCAATGCTCTCTCACACATATAAAGAAAATCATAAATAACATCTCCCCCTAAAGAAGCCAGGAATGTATTTTTAACTGAATTATAAGTATTTCTCAATTGTTTTTAATTGTCCAACTATCAAAAGCAACCAGTAAACCACACTTAAATACATAATTTTTTTTGGTCTTGTTAGTTCCATACATAAATCTGCCTGGAGAGGCAGAAAATAATAAATTAAAGAAATTCTAATACATTCAAGGAAGTCACAGGCTAAATTCACAAACGGCATTCTACTGAAAACTAAGAAAACCAAGTGAGCTTCATCTACTCACTTCCTGTCTGCTGCGGGGTCTTTGAGCTGAGCTGGTCTGTGAACAGTTGCCCCTCCTGCGATTGTGTATCTGCGCTGGTCAGCGTCTTTTGACTTTACTATCAGTCTGGCACTAGACGAGTTAGTCCAGGTTACATCTTTAGATATTATGCTTCTTGACGGGGCCTTGTCTCTTTTTGTGTCCTGAGAAGAATTGGTTTTGACGACAGACACAACTGGTTCTGATCGATGTGATTCCTTTTCAAGCACTCCTTTTCTGACT